GTGGCGGAGACCCATGAAGAAGGACGCGTCAAACAATAGCTCCTGGAAGAGCGAGGCGGTGCTGTCGTCGACCAAGTCGAGTTGCAGATGCCGCTCGAGCGACGAGACGACGCCGCGCCCGTCACTCGACTCGAGCCACTCGTACAGCAGCACAAAGAGCCGGAGAGCGCTCAAGCGCGTAGCGAGAGCGTGCTTGGGCTGCAAGAGATACAGAATGCAGTCCAACGCGTTTGCACCGAGGAGCGCAATGTACATGGGCGGGTCGCACACCGCACGGCTCGAGAGGCTCGTTAAAATCGCGCGGCTCAAGAGCGCATCCGGGCAGACGAGGAGGAAGCGCGTCGCTGTGCGCACGTTGCGGACCAGCGCCATGGGCAAAAATATGCTCTCGAGCGCTGCGTCGGCGGCGATCGAGCCCGACGGCGACTGCAAGACGGCGTCGCCGAGGACAAAGATGCGAAGTGACGCGTCGGGCGTCATCTCGTCGGGCGCGAGCGTCGCTTCAAAGAACGTGACGAGCGACCGCACGCACTCGTCGACCCACGTCGGGTCCTTGGTCTTGCGCTTGGCAAGCGCGGCCTTGAGGTAGTGCCGCCGAAGAATGTCGACGATGAGCTGCGTCGAGACGATCCGGCGCAGGCACGGGACACTCTTGAGAAGGCCGACGAGCTGCTGCAGCAAGATCGACTGTGTTTTGAACGTGGCCGTGCTCCACAAGTCAAAGTCCAGCAAGAGCGCTTGGACACCGACGACGAAGAGCGGGATCGGGTCCGGGTCGCCCGAGTGCAGATCCAAGTAGTTGGCAACGACGAGCTCGACGCACGCCGTCGCGTTGCTGGCGCTCAAGAGCTCTTCGTTGTCGCCGCCATGCGACCGCAACACATGACTGAGCAAGTGAAAGCCATACTGATGCAGCATCTCTTCTTGATGGGCAATCGAGTTGCGCAGAAGCCCTTGGAGCAAACTGAGGCCATACCCGAGCGTGATGGGCAAATCAGCGTGCGGTCGAGACAAGAGTGCGTGCAAGAGCAAGAGCACCGAGGGAATCCCACCAGTGCGGAACCAGACGTCGGCCCGGTCGGGATGCGAGAGCGTAAAGACACCAGGGCTCAAGACGACGTGGGTTTGCTGGGACAACGCGATGTCGCCCTCGGCCTTGAAGCGCGTCCAACGACCTTTCTTGTCGCGGTCGCCTTCGCAGCTCCACTGCGTGCAGAGCACGGGGCCGAGGCTCGTCCGGTCGCTCACTTCGTCGTCGGCGATGACGTCGTGCGCGCTGAACGAAAATACGATCTTGAGGTGCATGCTCATCTCACTCGTGAGCGTCTTCTCGTGCGTCGATACCTTGGCGAGCGGCTTGGTGTCCAGAAACGTGTTCTGGAAGGGGTTCACGCCCAAGAAGAGGCGCCGCAAGCAGGTATGGGACGGGCCATGGCGGTGGAGGGCCGCCATCATGTCGGGTCGGAGCTCGTCCTCGTACATGGTCATGCCCGAGAGCTGGAACGGCGCCGTGGCACCGCCAGAGTCGACGCCGCCAATGAGGCACTGGGACATGGGGCCCGTTGGCGTCGGGTACGAGAGGTCTTCGCTCATGACGCGCGTCGTGTTGATATAGCACTCGACGTGGCTGCGCTTGAGGTAGTGCTGCTTATGCGTCACGACGACGAGGTGCCACTGCTGCGCGTCCCAGACGAACTGCGAGCTCACGTGGCGCCAGCCCTTCTCGTTCGTGGCCGACGCAACGCTGAGCGAGACGCGCGTGCAGTCGTCGTTGAGCGGCGTGAGCGTGCACTCGACGCCCATATTCTTGCTCGTGCTGTAAAACTTGAAGAGGCGGATGCGCTTCGGGCCGACCTCGACGGGTGGCGGCGGCGGCAGCTGGACCCACACCGCGATCGAGAACCCGCGGAAGGTCCATGGCAGCAGCGGCAGCGTGAGGACGCTGCCCACGGGGATATACACGTACGAGCGCGGGGTCACCTTGAGCTCGTTGAGGTCCTTGCTGTGCTCGCGGAAGAGGGCCGCTGTCCCCATCCCTCCCTCGCCGATCTCATCGAGGAGCTCGCCAAGATGCAAGCGCATGATGGCTTGATCGCGGTCTTCTTTCAAGTTATAAAAAAGAACCGGTTCCAAGCATACAAAAAGCAGGTTGATTTTAAAACACCAAGTACTCCGATCCTGGCACAGCACAACGTGTTCCAGGGGCCCGGGACTCATGAGGGCGCCGAATCCCTCACGCAGCAAGGCCCATGGGGCGATGGATCATGGGCAAAGCGCAAGCAGCGATCAAACAGTTGTCAGCGATATCCGTCCATTCAATCGATAAAATAAGTCCTGGATATGTCGATTGGTACCGATGGTGCAATATCCAGTCAGATTATTGCTCAGCATACTGAACCCAAATGGGGTTCAAGCCAAAAGGCCAGTTTATTGCTAGTTGCGGTAACATTAGAACAAAACATACAAGCGTCATAGAGCGGCTTTTTGCCCGGTAATTTCCCGGTCCCCGATGGATGATGACCTTGTTGAGGAGGCACAAGAGCATCGGAATTAGGAGTGGAGTACATGCTCCACGTCCATCTTACCGGTACTAATACCAGAGCTCAGACAATCTATACAATATCACATGAGCCTACGCATTATTCTCATATAAATGTTGCAAGGAGGATCAAGGCAACTATGCACTTCCATTCAATACGACCATTCTTTATTATTATAGAGCCAATACACATTTACATCTTTAGATAATTATAAACTATGACAAACGCATATCCAATTCTACACTCTAGTCGTACAGCGGCAGGAAATTAAGCGGAAGGCCACCGCTTCGATACTCATGTCGTACACATATTTTAATAGTTTTACCGAGAGGGTGTAAGCAAAAGGCAGGGGGTTCAATCCTCTCTTTCTGCCCCATTATTTGCACTTTTAAAAGCAGAGCCAGAAATTCAGGGGGTCCAAACCTCTCTTCCAGCACCTTTCGGCATGCTTTTTAGGGGCGAGAGCATAGATCGCTGGTCACACACCCTCTTGCTGCAGCGTGTACACCCGAGACTAGAACTTGCTTGAGGAGTCTGCATCATTGGTCACTTGAGCAAAGATGTGGGTGTGCATGCTGCAACAAGGACGTTCAGAAACAGCATCGTCGTCAACCTTGCGAGATGGTATGTCTAAATCGGCAAAAACAAAGGCAACAGTAAAGCTCAGGTTGCAGTCGTGTAGCCCACTCAAGATAAGACAAGAAGGTTATAAATAACAAATCTATGACACCATATATTCGATTCGACAGCACGTGCATCAGGTCACTACCATGCACTGAGAATGGCGGCACCGCCTCGGAAGCGGTGGCACCAGCTTCGGGGACGGCACTGGCTTGGGATCGGCGGTGCGGGTGGGATCGGTGGCACTGGCTTGGGAGCATCAGGAATGACGGCACCGGCGAAAAGACGACGGCACCGGCTTGGGAACGACGGCACCGACAGTAGACGACGGCACCGACAAGACGACGTTGGTAAGGGCAAGAAGACGACGGCACCGGCTTAGGAAACGGCGTCCCCGGTGAGGGGACGACTGCACTGGCAAAAAGACTACTGCACCGGCAAGAAGACGACGGTGCGGGCTGCTGGAACGACGGCACCGGCAAGAACGACGGCAGCGGTGAGGAGACGACGGCACCGGCTCGGGAACGACGGCACCGGCGAGAAGACGATGGAAGCCGCGAGAAGACGACGGCACCGGTGAGAAGACGACGGCACCGGCAAGAAGACTACGGAAGCCGCGTGGGGACGACGGAAGCCGCGTGGGGACAACGGCTACGGTGGGAACGACGGAAGCGGCGTGGGGACCAGTCTCCGCAGTGCGATCATGGAGACCAAGGCAATGCAAACGTCGTCTCGTTCCTCCGGTGCATCTTGTAGAATGGTGGCAAGCGTAGCGATGACAGCTAGTGTCAATCGATTGGCTCCCGTGGCATTGTTTCTTATTCGTATAAAATATGTTGAAATCTGTATTCTAAATGCTGTGATGTTTTAAATTTCAACCATTGGTAGCGACAACATTGGCTGCGGGACCAATGGTGCTGAAACGACAATCTATTGGCCGCGTACAAAACCGTTTCGGCCAATAGGAACGGACTGTAGAATTGGCGCGAAAAAAATGGAGCGTTCGGGCCGTCGTTGCCGGTGCGGTCCCGCATTCCTCTCAAGTGCACGGAACCAAGTACAATCGCGAGGCCGAGACCGTTCTGACGAATTATGCATTAGAAATTTAATATGCAAGCACTAAGCAGTACAATACCGGGTTTATAGGCAATAGCTGGGAAACGATGAACGAAACAGCAATTTAGCTTTGTTGTTGACTTGAGCATGAGCGCTATCAAAGGAGGCACGAAGCAACGGAAGCGACGGAAGCGAGCTGACGACGACGATGACGACGAAGACGACGACGTGTCGTATCTTCTTGCGATGAATGCCATCATGCCGATGCCCTCTACTTCATCACATTAGTTCTATGCTGTATCAGCCGCAAATCAATTACTCGTCCATCTATGTTCGCTCGATGCTCGGATAACGACGACGACAACGACTCTTCAATTGAGTTGGACGAAGACGACCTAAGTGAGGACGAAGACGACGTCGCCACGCGGCCCACTACGCTGGACGAGCTTATTAATCGCGCCCGAAAGCAAGAAGTCCGACAATGGAAGGCAAACGAGCGAAAGCGCACAGCTGAAGCTTGGAAGGACATGCGTCGCGTGCTCGTGTCAGCTTTAGCCCTGCACTTGTCTCCCCGGCTCTCGCGCACACGGTGTTGTGCTGATGCGTGCCCCGCGTATGCTACCTACCGCTGCTATGACTGTCGAGACAGCGGTTTGAAGTCTGCATTGTGCTTGGATCACGCCCAGATCCACACGGTTTGCCACAAGATGGTCGACGACAACGGTCGCGTCCTCGTAAGGCAAGCTCCACAAATTGTGTGTGGATGCAACGTCGAGGGTACCGGTAATTTTCTCTTCATACAATGTTGTTGGCTAGTACTACAAAAGTAGGCACGACAAGCGTTGTTACTCTCCACGGCACAATGGCTACAGAGGCCGCGCGGGTTGTTTTCTGCTCTGCATGCTCGTTGGCACAAGTGCTGCTCGCTAATGGCTTTTTTCCGGCATCGCCAACCAAGCCACGTACGACAAGTTACCACGTTGTTAAATTGCGGGATGTGACCCAGTCAAATGTAGACATGGCATTTAGCATTGCGATGCTGTACTCGACCGAGTGGTAGCCGAGCATTTCTACGTAATAGTATATGTCAATGTGAGGCGACGTGAGGCAACGTACGCAGACGATCACATTGGCTGTTGATGTCGGCAATAATCGACGCGGAGAGCTGAAGGCGTGCGCGTAGCGGCATCGTCTCGGGCGCCGTGACTTGAGCCTTGTTCACCGCGCGCGCCTCTTTTTCCAAGGCGGCAATTGCTTCAGCGTCCGTGGCCTTCAAGTGATTCCACATCGTGCACACGTTTGCGTTAATGTTGTCGAAAACAGAGCGACTGGGTCCGGGCACTACATTCAGATTTCATTGTACATCAAAATTGCGCCGAGTAGTACCTCTTTCCTTCCACATCTTGCTCTGGAGCACGTTGTACGCCGTCCGCTTGCGCTTCGAACGCTTCGGCTGGTCGGCGACCAATACTGGGGCCGCAGGATCGTTGGTGGTGGCCGACGCGGCATT